TATGGTGATCTCGTCAACAAAGTCAATGGAGACTGGAGGGCAACTCAGCTACAACTGCTCATGGATCCATTAGTTGCATTTGTTTCCCCCCCCCCCCAATATTTGGTGTTACCAGAAGTGGGAAGAGCTTCCCACCTGGCTGTGTCTCCAAAAGGACGTGGATGTCCCATAGGTCCTCTGTCACGTCTGCCAGAAACGTGGATGTCTCAGGCACCCTAAGGCATCTCAGATAGCCCTAGACACTTGCATTTAGTCAAGTGAATGGATCCTAATATACTCTGCTACTGTGGGACACATACATTTAGATATCTTAATCTTGAACTAAATCCCACAGTGTTTCACTGTCAGGAAAAAGACAAATTCTAATTCCAGTTCTGACATTAACATTTACATTAAGGATAACAATGCCAATGTACTGCTTAAATCTCAGAAGAGACCAGTAAAACAGTAGTACACTGTATTAACTATGTTTTTGAAAATATTGTAAAGGAACTATTGTGTATTCTATTTTTCCACAGTATACTCAAAGCAAAAATTTGCATTGATTAATAATATCCTTGTACTACTGGTGCCTTTCATAATCTGTAGAGATCTTTTACTTCTCTGGGACAGAATTACGTGGTATGGGTTTCACTTTTAAACCCCAATGGCTTATTTAGCTACTTAGGACTATACTTCTAGTTACTAATTTTTTTTTTTTCATTTTGGTTTTGAAAATTTTGAGGGACCAATCAACACTTTCTCTGAGCTGCTACTCCAGGGAAGATGATCTGGAATGCTATCACTTTCCACAGTTGCTATCAATAAAATACCAGGCTACATTTTACTCCCATGGTGTCTTCCATGAGGGTTCCTTTTTAATTTATTAATGAATAAACTTCTGCAACTAATGTCTATTTTAAAATATGAAATAAATAAAGAAGTCAAATCTCAAAGATTACCCAGATTCAGGAGAAGATATTTGTACAGAGTCCTATCTATGTAAGGAAACATACAGTGAACTCCATTGAAACAAGACAGTTTTCTGAATTGATGAAATAAGATGCCATCCAGTTTCCATTCAGCCTAGTGGGTGGCTAAGAGTTTTAGAAGGTTAACATTTCCTCTGAATTTATTTTTGAGATTACTAAATATTATCTGATCATTTTAACAAATTCCTCTCAGTCAGTCTTTGTTCATAGTTCAAGGAGTAGTACTTACAGCAGCAAGTAAGTACTTACAGCAGTTAAAATTCAAGCTGAATTTAATATTATTCATTTATATCATATATTTCTTTATAACTCAGAAAATTCACCCTCAGATGCCTGGCTTAGCAACAGAAAGGATATTTAGAGATTTGTTTCTCTGAGGAATCTAAACTTAAATTAAGCTTAAAGTGGAAGCTGTGCTTGGATGCCATAACATGTTTGATAGGTGCAAGTAAGGGACACAATGTAGAATGAATTTATTCCGTCAGTAAGGCTAAAATCATGAAAACTACTGAAGTATAGCTTTATAGGCAGGAAAAAGGAGAAAGAGAAATTGCAAAAATCAAATGCAATACTTATGCTGAGAAATCTATTTCAGAAAATATGTCCTCCTTTCCTAAATATACTACTGCAGAAACACTTTCCACTTAGGAATTTTTTGAAAGAATTGCTTCCTCTTTAGAAGGTATTTTAGTATGAATGAGCCAAGAAATCCCCTGAAGTGTTCTTGATGGAGCTGGCATTCATTCCCAGAGGCAAGATGTCAAATCAAGCTGGCATGTGGCTACAAACGCTGCATCACTGAACAATATAGAGGGAGTGTGGTTCACAAAACAACAGCTGTTTCCATTACAGCTGAGTGCTTTTTCAGTCTGAGAGAAGCACGTTAGCCTGGGAGAAATGAGAATTGGTGAATATCAGCCAGTCTTTGGAACAAGCCTGAACAAGCCATGCCAAGTTTTAGGAAAGGCTTGGTAAACAGGCCTAGGACCTCATGCCACAGTTGCTGCCAATAAAAGTCAGCATCTATGGAGATGACACTCCGTTCCACCTTTCCTGCTAAGTCCTGCTCCTGATTCATGCACTAACCCCAAGACTGGTTTTGATCAGTAAACAGCAAATCAACCTTATTATTTGCTCTTTAGACTGCAGCCATTAAAAAAATTAGCAAAATCACTTGCCCCATCACAATCTACTAGTATACTTAGTTATTTAACTGTTACACAAAATCTATACATTGAATACAAAATGTAATATTTCATAGAGCTGTCGACTAACTGAGGCTGGAAGTTGTTTGGTCCAACTCTCTGTGCCCTAAATTGGCAGGGCCATCTTAGATCAAGTTGCTGAGATCATTGAATACTTTGGATTAGAAGGGATCTCTGAAGGTCATCTAGTTTAATCCCCCAGCTTGAAGCAGAGCCACTTCATAGTTAAGGTTCATGGGGATTCTCAGGTTGAGTTTTTGATATCTCTGAGGACAGATATTCTACAACCTCTCTCTTCAGTAGTGCCTAACCACTCTTGTAAAATACTTTTCTCCCTTATGTCGAATTGCAATTTTCCTTGCTGAAAACTGTGACTGTCATCTTCTGACCATTGACTGTGCATGTATCAGGAGAGTCTGCTCTATCTTCTCTATACCCACCCTTTGTAAAGCAAAAGACAACAAATAGATCTCCTCTGAGCCGCCTCTCCTGAGGGCTGAACAAAGCCAGCTCCCTCAGCCTCTGCTTGTACATCATGTGCTCCAGATCCCAAACATCTCAGTGGACTCCTGCTGGTCTTGTTCCAACCTGTTAATGTCTTTCCTGTATGGGGAAGCCCAAAACTGGGCATGGTGCTCCGGACGCAGAATGGCGGGTCCTGAATAAAGGGGATTAGTCGCTTTTCTTGACCCGCTGGCTGCAATCTTGTATGCTTTAATTTAATGTATTTTAATGTAAAGTATTTGGATGAATGCCCATGGGCATGGATTACTGAGTAAGCAGCTCTTCTTTCTAAACCATAAGATAAAATGCATATGTCAAGTACCTCTGTTTGTATCTGACTATGATGGAACAAAACCTAGGAAATTAAATTCATGGATATGTTATAGTCAAGGATAAAAAACAATCCTTTTCCATTTTGGTTTCTAAGTTTTCTTCCTCTTAGAAACATTCTTGAGAATCAATAAATTCCTATCGGTGTATGAAACTAGAGGTTGACTTTTTTTTTTTTTTTTAGAAAATAACAAATGTTAGAAAAATATTTAATTGCAGAAATCTGAGTCTGCAGGAACTGGTCATCATCCTGCTCAAACAAGTGGGAGAGATAATGTTTAGTATTGAATGCAGGAATACATGAATATAAATTCAAGGCAATTTTCCTCTGTCTTTAAGACTGATGTAAATATTGGACTTTCACACTGCAGTTGTAATTTTTTTTAGTAAAATGGTCACGAGGAAAGAAATAAATCTGAATCTGATATGAAATCAGGTAGCCTACTATATATATTTTTTTAAAAATTTATGATCATGAAAGATCATAAGTATCTGAAAGATACTTTCAAGTATCTGAAAGATATTTGGCGAAGAAATGGCAAAGATTATTAATAAATCCTGAACTTTCATGTGGTAATTCAAAGAAAAAGCATCATGAGGCCTTTTTAAAAAACAACAATTACATTCAATGGTCATTATGACCAACATTATTTTTATGATTCCTTGCATTTAATGAGCAGTAGCTACAATTTGTGCTTGCAACGGTAATCCAGACTTCACCTCTCTGCTAGTCACCAATTTGTCTTACGTTTTTTCCTTTGGCTGGAAGTGCAGGTATTCCACATACATTAGGATTCAGTGTTAACCAAGGAGAGCTGATGCCACCATGGCTGTTCAAATTTTTTTTACAAAGATGACACAAAAATCCTGATTTTCCCATTCACAGTGTGGGATTTCTCATCATATTTTTGCTGCTTGCCTTTCAAAATGAATGGAGCACTGCAAATACAGCTCAAACACGTGGCGTTGGTGGGATATATACTGATAAACACCCTGTCAATGGCATTCTGTATATTCTAGGATTAACTTTATGCTGTGGAAAACCCTGTAAAAGTTCATATCTTTGGTTTTCTGTTTATTTGTGTCCTTTTATGGGCACCCAAGCATCATGACCTGTGAATAGTAACTAGACAAGTATTCATTGTATAAATTGCAAAACAAGGCAGAGGTCTTTAAGCAATCAGTAGTCATACCATATATACCTAGCTACCTAAAGTGTGCAGTGCAGCTTTTGCTCATTGAACTACATCCAGACAATGGCCTTGCAACTTCTTCTGCCCCGTATATATACAAAGTGAGGCTTAACAACTCAGAGCACTGTGCAGTTCAGCTACAACTGTACAATTATGAAAGTTCTATCACCTGGCAGGTGGGGACAACCTCTTGTGTGGTTTCATGGATATTGCCACAACATTTAACATGTCCTCAAAGATGTCAAAGAAACATCAAGTAAATTTATAGGTCATCCCCCACACTGTAAAATAAAACAGATTAGGTTGTCAGCAATTTAATTTGAGCTGAGAAAAGCTGGGAACATTTTCAGTTTCAACTCACCAGCTATTTTTGTAAAGGTGTTGGATGAGATCTTTAACAAAAATGGTCCTAGGGATCTTCAGCTGAATTGAAGAAATATATTCATATTAATTTCAATACTCCTACACAGTTCAGTTCAGTTCAGCTGGCAAGCTCTCCAGAGGAGAGATTCTGTCAATGAAAAGAGGTTTTTGCAATGATAAACTAAAACTACATTTGTGTTAGGTTTTTGTAGTCCCTAGTGACAATTTAACTTGTGGCTAGCAGGATACTGATCTTCATTTTCAGCAGCAGCAGAGTTTGTTATTTAAACATGGAGACGTCTATCAGTCATGCTTTGTTCTGATACTGGTGTTAGGACAACTAAGACAAACTTTTCTTTTCTGGTTGCTTGTTCAAAGCTACAAAATATGAACATATGCATCAAAGGTCTCACTAGTACCGTCTCTTGTAACAGGTGGGGAGCGTTAACTGACAAAAATGGACAGAAACAGAAGTTTTGGGTAAGTGAATCCTTAGCACTATGTTTTGAGTCAGAAGAAAAAAATCTACAAGACAGATTATCTAAAAACAACTTATTCCCTTTCATTCGCTCTCTCTGTGTCTATTTTTTTCCTTCACCTTAAGGTCTCCTGCGTAATTTTATTCCCTTTCTAGCAACTTTTACCATGCTGACCCTTGAACTGTAGCATCATCTACCTCAATTTCAAAACCTGTTTCATCCGATCTCCCTCCTATATCTGTGTTTCTTCCTACACCGTCTTTTCTGTCTCAAATCTTATTCAAATTCTCAAATGTTATGCAAATTTCCCATGAAGATTCAGTTCTTTTTGATGCCTGCAAATGAGACTCAATAAAATAATCAATATTATTTGTTAAAACATTTGGAAAAGACAAGCTATCTATTTAACAGCATTGGCAAATGCTATCCAGCTGTCAGAAAAACAATTAAACATTGGCTTTCAGCCATTTAAATTAAGTCAGATTTTATCACTTTGATTATGATTAACATCTCATCTCATTATTCCTGTGTTCAGCAGAAGGTAATTTGGAGTTTACATAGCTGATGGCAGGGCTTATGGTAGGTAGTTTCCCTGACATCTAGGGCAAAACTTGTACTGACTTCATTAGAAACTAAATTGCTCAGTATGTCAATAGCTACCTGAATTATACCTAATTTATTAGAAGTCAGCTTTTTCGTATCTTGGGTCTCTCTTTAACAGATTAGTTGTAATTGGATTTTTGACCATTGTTGTTTCAATGACCACTTTCTTCAGCCAATAGTTGAATTATCTAATGATTTCTGCTTCAATTTATCAAACTACCTTGTAGAAATAGTATTCCATTTTTATGAACCCTTGTTTTGGAACTGAAATTTTGATCAAAACAAAAAGGAACAAATGATTAGAAATCAGAAAAAGATGCATTCTGATTCTCAGTGCACCAAATCTGAGAAACTCTGTTTCTTAAAAAGGAAACTAACACAAAAGATTAATTTTGCATTTTACACCTTGCATTTTTAAATACTACTTTAAAATTAAAATTGATATTTTTTTCCTCTTTGTTTTTCTTTAGATTGCTGCAAATTCCTGGGGAAAATCTTGGGGAGAAAATGGTTATTTTAGGATTCTACGTGGACAAAATGAGTGTGATATTGAGAAGCTGATTTTAGCTACTTCGGGATAGCCACAGTCTTCTACTCTGTATTGTACCATACTCTGCTTTATGTATCTATTCTTTCCATTATTGCATATTGAGTCTTTCTAGAGAAATAAAAATGTCTGCTCTGTAAGTTACTTTTCTTTCTATTATAGCTCATTAGGGCTTCCTGACCTGAACACACCGCAGCCATCGCAACACTCTCAGATTTCACCTGGTACTCCTTTATACTAACAACAAGTTGTATCCAGGACTACTGAAAACCTTGGTGTCTCACAGAGCACGAAGTTCCTTCCTCTGTTATTTACATCTCACCACCATTTTGTTATACTGTTAATGGTTGATTCAACAGTGCCTGAAATAAATGGAGTTACATTGTTAGTATTAATCTCTTTACAATACATGCTCTGGTCACAAATCACTTTAGAAATATTATGTGCTCTTCCACACAGAATTGGCTCAAACAGCTCATGGTTATATTGGATAAAAAATTCCAAAGAAATGTCAGTAGAGTCCTAATCCTGTTACAAAATAATTATTTCCTATCCTAGCTTAGATAAGTTGTATCTATGTGTCATTATCTCTTCTGAGAAATTAATTTTTTACTAGTAGATCCCACAAAGTCGATGCATTTAGAGTAATACAAAAATTACTTGCAGTGAAAACAGCATATTCCTGTTCCCACAACCACAATTAAAAATGTACAATTTTAATAATTTGTTTAATTAAATGAAAATAAAGAATAAAATGTAATTTCTCCTCAGTTAAGCCTAGACTAGACTAATTCCTGAACTACTTGCCTTCCACTCACTGTTTTAACCTGGGAACAGGCATGTGCCACCATTCCCAAAAGCCTGCTTCTAATGGATAAAACATTTTATCCATTTTTCTAATAAAAAAACATTTGGTTGGTTGTCTCCACTGACATATCTGCAGTCCAGGTGCAGCTCCTGGTGTTGGCCAGCAGGATCATTGGGGCAGACAAGACACGCAAAGCCCCTTTCACTCCTAACGCTCCCATAGCTGCTTCTGTCTGAAGAAAAAGCCTACTGGCATGCAAGCCCTCCCATCAGCCTTGCTACAAATCTTGACAGGCTTAAGGACTCTTTTGCTTATTTGCTAATTAAAATACAGATATTGCAACTATCGATATAAGAAGAAATTAACTACCTTCTACCCCTTTTAGTTTCAATTAATCCAAAGGCCAGATGCCAACAGGGATCATCGGTCATAAAATTATCTGTGAAAGAAACAACCCTGGCATGTTAAATAGGTGGGGGAAAAAGCTGCCATGAAATTCTAGTGAACGAAGGATTTCCAGTGACACCTTCAGTGTCTTTAATAGACTATGCTTCATTCTTTCTAGAAATTAAGAACTTGACTTCTAATGTCATCAGCAAAGGGGTAATAGCTTTTCCTTCAAGAACTTTTCATGGTGGTGGTATACCACAGATGTCCTTGCCTCTGAAATAATGTCTCTTAAACTAAACTTGGGTCACAATTTATGTTGCATCACTACTGAAAGAGCTATGATTAAAATTTTAGTATCATTCTGGTGCACAACAAGCTGTTCTGTGGCCTTTAGTGTCATACAATAAACCAAATTTAGACACAAAAACCTTTATCACTTGAAATTTATAGCAAATTGTAACACAAGCAATTTTAGAAGAGCTAAGTGCTCTGAGAGAAGAAGTAACTTTTCTAGGTTTAGTGAGCTAAACCAGTACTTGAGAGGAACGTGTACTGAGCCATCTACACAGCTACTTCCCAAACTCGGTATGTACTGATTCCCTAAATGTCAAGATTTCAAAAAAGTAGAATTTAGCTCTGAAGTGAATAATACTGTAAAAACATATCCAGTCAACTCTGGGGTTTTTTGTTTCATTCAACTTCAAGTTGGTTTGCACTGCTGTTAGCTCTTGCTTTTGTCAGTGGTTGTTGCTACTGATTTCTTGTGAGATCTTTCTAGGATCTGGGCTGTCACATTAAGTTTCTTCAGTGATGAGAAAGCTCAAAACTACTTTCCTAGATCTTTACTTGATCAAATGGTCATCTTGGCTTGAAAGAACCACCATATGCAAGTGAAACAAATCCAACCACGTCAAAGCAATTTAATGATTTGCAAAGTGATACTGCTCTGCCCACCTTCTGGGGTTAACCTTTGGTGCTCTGAGTGAGGTATGTGCTCAGCACCCTCTCCATACTCCTTCAGTATCATAAAACCGCTGTTTGTGGAAATGCCACAGTACCCAGAATTTAACAGGCAGGCGAATGTATCTGCACCTGGAAGCCAGTTTGCTCTTTGAAAGCAACCTTGGTGCTGAGGCAACTATTCTGCTGCTATTCAGAGCAGAAGTAAAGGGTGTCCTGCCAGTGCAGGTCTTCTCAGTCATAGTGATCAAGAGACAGTGGGGCCTGGGAGCCACCAGTGGTTCTGCCTCATGCAGACTACCTGGAGACAGATTTTAAATGTCAGAAGGGCTTTGAGCTCTTCTAGTCCACTATTTGGTGGGAGTATGAGGAAACTTGCTCTTCATTAAGATTCCACCTCTCATTTCTCTCCTTTTTTTTTTGGCCTCTCCATCACTAATGCTCAGCCATGCCTGCTGGCTTGGACTAAAAGTGTCATCTAGCCTGGAGATCTTTCCTGTGTGAATAGAAAGGAACAATATGTAGCTCAGGTTAATTCAATAGAGAGCTCATCAGCTTTAAATCACTAGTATTACTAATAGTCTGTGGGAACTGCAGAAAGGGGTGGTATCAGGAAGGGAAGGCAATGCAGGAATAACCTTTGTGTTTGTGACACAGTGTAAATTTCCTTTTCCATAAAAACAGGAAGGTAACATTTTTATGGCAAGCAAAAAAATAAATCCCCACTCAGACTACACATTACGATATTTCTTGTTAACAACATGCTATATGAAGTTTTGATTAGTTGTCAGTCTAACTGTGAAACTTTAAAACTGGGTATAGAAATAGCTAGAAGAATATATGTCTTGGGACCTGGTACCTGACAGTACTCATAACTAATGGGAAACTCCCTGTCTAAATTCCTATATATTTAGAAACAGTTTCAGACAGAACTTTGAACAGGAATACCTATGAACTTTGGGAGAGTTTGAATCTTCCTAATATTAACCAAGCAGAACAAGCTCCTTTTGCAATTTATATTGATCATCCTTCAGGGCTTTCCCACAATCAGATCCTAAATGTTACTGACAGTATCTAATAGATGAACACCGTTAATGCCCTTTGAGATGGCTTTAAGTGGAAATTCATTTTAAAATTAAAATGGCGAACAAGCCAATGAAGGAACCCAGCTATTTTCACACTATTGTTACCCTTTTTTCCACCCTATTGTTCTAGAAATATCGCCCATCTGCTAAATGATAGCAAATCACACCCTGAAGACTGGCCTCCTATTCCATGGAAAGCACTATCAAGCCTGGTAATAGTCTATGAGTGAATAATTTTGTTTGCGTAGGGGTGCCTGGCAAGCAGTGAATTCCTGAAGGTAATTGCTCTGCTGAGGGGTCTGAGTCACAGGCAGACACGAGAGTCACAGGGAGCTGTCTCTACACCTGGCTCCAGTCAGAGGTTTTGGTGGGGCTGAGAGGCACAGCAAGCTCCTTTCCTACCTCGCTAGCAATCACTGCACACAGCTTGGCAAGACCAGGTTTCCCCAACTCTGGAGTTTGCTCATCATCATTAGGAAGTCTGAAAAATTGATGACACTTGCCATAATAGGGATTTTCATTTCGTGTTACTATTTCAGAATCATGCATGATGAAGATGCTTTTACACAGCCATACAATAGCATTAAAGCACAGCATGTGCATATTCCTGCTAAAATTAATTGAGAAAAGAGAAGCATTTGAACATCTCACCTAATGAGCACAATTGCTTGAGAACAAAAAGCTGAAGGCAGCCAGGCTGCAAAAGGAGGTTGGAGAAGATGGAAAGGTTTTGCCAGTGTGGTATTTAAACATTTCAAATTGTGGGAGAAGTAGGGCATATGGACATCCTCCTGAATGCCATCTTCAGAGAACTGAGAAGCCCCTGTACTAGCACTGTGTTGTTGCTACCCTGCCTTTAGCTGGGGGATGTAATATGTGGCTTGGATTTTGCCTGTCTGCTGTTTGCTGCCTGTACCTTTCCCTTAGGAAAGGTAGGCAAAAAAGAAGTTTTTTTTAGGGTGATTGCTTTGTCCTGGATGCCCAGAGTGAGGTGCCTCTAGGAGAGCTTCCCCTGGACATGCTGAGCTTAGGGAGGCTTCTGGGCTTCAAGTTGGCAGCCAGCACTGGGACTCAAAACTACATGGCTTTATGTGTAGCTTAGTACAGCAAATGACGTGTTTCGGAGGAATGCAGCCTAAAGCAAGCTGAAAAGGAAATCCAAGGGACATAAGGAACGTGCATCTGGAGCAGGGACTAGACAAGCCCTGAGAGGAATGACAAGGGGACTATTTTCCTGTAGTTCCAGGGATCAAGGAAAGTTGCTAGACAGAGAGCAACCCTGAAGAAAAGAAGCTACGCTTCTAGGAACCAGAGATAGAGGGAGATTTGCTTGTAAATCTTTTCAGCTTAATGTTTTACTAGAGACATGGCAGGAGCTTGCACCTGGGCACTTAGTGCTGAACCTACCATTTGGTAATTGTTTCCTATATGAACAACTGGCTTACATCTTTGCACCCGTTCCTCACTGCAAGGATTAAGCCTTTAGCAGGATGGAGACTGTGTCTTTGCCTGAGTTAACAGCAAAATGTGAGTAACATTGCTTTATTCTGGAGCACTCCTACGTCCCTTCAGCCAAGATATCCCCATATCCAGTCACCAGGTTTATTTCCAGACAGATTCAATGTGGAGACTCCCAGCTGCTGAAGTTTTCTTGGTCTTTAACTCCTAGACCCATGTGTTGTTCAGCAGTCACTCAGAACCAAGGAGGTTGGCAGAGGTTAGTGAGTGAGGGCTGTAGAGTGGGAACCTCTGCTTCATATAGCAGCAACTTGTCATTAGGGCATATTAAAGGCAGAATGAATGCAATGAAAGGAATCAATTTTCACTTTTCTTTATAACAGTGTAGCTGTCAAATACACATACCGTATTACTTACATCAGCGAA